TGCCCCAAACCAACAGCGGCCGCTGCTGGGCAGGCGGCCTTCTGTCTCGAACGGACACAGGCCGCGGCGGCGTGGACAGCGAGTCCGGTTCTAAATGAACAGGAAGTGCTGCTGGGCATTGTGCCCATTCTTTCCGTACCCATTTCGGGCGTCCAGAACTTAGGCCTCCCCGAGGCCACCGTGGAGGCAGCCTGGGCGCTCCCGGGGCTGCCCTGGGCCGTCCGAGGGCCCTCCTGCGGCGCTCTCGGGCTCGACCGAGGGCCGCACGGGGCCGAAGCCCACCGAGACCTGTGCGCCTGGAGCTGGGCCTCCCGAGGCTCAACCCGTCCCTCCTCCCTCCTCCCTCCTCCCTCCTCCCTCCTCGCTCCCCCCTCCTCCCTCCTCCCCCTCCTCCCTCCTCCTCCTCCCTCCCTCCTCCCTCCTCCTCCTCCCTCCTCCCTCCTCCCTCCTCCTCCTCCCTCCTCCCTCCTCCCCCTCCTCCCTCCTCCCTCCTCCCTCCCTCCCTCCTCCTCCTCCCTCCTCCTCCTCCCCCCCTCCTCCCCCTCCTCCTCCTCCCTCCTCCTCTCCCTCCTCCTCCTCCTCCTCCTCCGCCTCCTCCTCCTCCCCCTGGTTTATTCGGCGGCGAGCGAGGGGGAGGAAGTGAGAAGGGGCGGGCCTTCTCAGAAGCCTCGGAAGTCCCCCGGCCACCTGAGAAGTTTTCCTAGCCTTCTCCGAAGACACAGACAGCTTCTCGGAAACCGCGGGGGCTTCTGAGAAGTCCCGCCGCCTTCTGAGAAGGCCTTCTCCTTCTCACTTCCCCCCCTCGCTCGCCGCCGAGTTATTCTTCCTGGCTAACAGATCGCGACGCTACACGCGCTTTCCGTCATCCGCCGCCCCCTGTTGATTTAACACAGGCGTGCCTGGCGTGCTGACTTTTTGGTTACTGTTGGTTCGTTTCGAAGCTCCCCCCCTGGGACTTCGGCCCATCCCACCGGCCACCTGGAAGGCACAGGCACCTCAACATGCACAAATGATCCTCCCAAGAAGGGCCCAAGATGGCCTCCAAGACGGCCAAGATGGCCTTAAAGACGGCCCATCCAAGTCCGCCCAAACAGTCAACAAGACAGACTAAGATGGCTCCAAGATGGCCCAAGACGTCCCAAGAGGCCCACAAGAGGCCCCCAAGACGGCCCAAGAAGCCTCCAAAAGGTCCTCCAGGAATGCCCGGAGATGCAATAATCATCGTTGTTCCTTAGGCGTGAGAAAGATTTTGCAAGCTGCTTCTTTTCGGCCTTCCGACGGCCCGAGACGGCCCAAGAGCCCCCAAAGATCGCCCCAAGATCGCCAAAGGACCCTCCAAGATGGCCCCACAACGGCCCAAGAGCCCCCCAACACTGCCCGAAGAGGACCCCAAGACGGCCCCAGGGGCCTCCAAAACGCCTAAGATGGTCTCCAAGACAGCCCAGAAGCACCCCAAGATGGCCCTAAGTCGAATCAGCGAGGCCCCCAAGACGGCATCCGTCGGCATCAGACGGGCCAGGAACGCCCTAAGACGGCCAAAGAGGCCCCAAAGAAACCCCCAAAAGCTCCCAAAAGCTCCCAAGGCCCAAGGAGGCCCCCAAGAGGCCTCCAAGAGGACCCCAGGAAGCTCCCAGGAAGCCCCAAGGTGCCCCAAGCGGCTTCCAAGATTCCCCACCCCGCTCCTCCTTTTCCTCCTCCTCCTCCTCCTCCTATTTTACGCTAGACCAGCCTAAGCGTGTAGCTGTGGCGTTTGCCCTCCTCCTCCTCCTCCTCCTTCTTCTTCTTCTTCCATCCCTGAGGGGACGATCCCCTGCGGAGCCCTCCCTTGCAAAGTCCCCGTACTCCAAGTCCATGTGCGGCCCCACCGCCACGCGGACACTATGGACGTGTCCGAGACCACGACCCCGCCAGCGCGCCCGCGCCAGAAGGCCGCCGCACGGCGGCAGCACCCCAGCCCAGCGCCTTCAGGGTCCCCCCTCGCGGTGCGGAGGCGCACCACAAGAGAGGAGGGTGCCTTCGACCAGCTCCCAAGCAGCGCCCTCGTCCGACGGCTCCTCTGGGTAGCGCTCGGGGGGCACAAGCATGGCCACGAGCATTGGGTCCGACGGCCACTGCGTGGAAGCCCCGCAGCTCAGCGCAGGCTGCGCCTCCAGGAAGGCCTCGCCCAGCAACTCGAGGAGGGGCCTCGGTAGCACCCAATTGCTCGGCTCGAGCGCCGCTGCAGGCCTCGCCACCAGGCCGCGCTGGTGCATGGCAGCCGAAAGGTGCGGGCAGTGCACGGCCAGGGCCTGGCCGAAGGTCGACTGCGAGCCTCCGAAGTCGGCCACATCGAAGGTAGTCGAAGTGGCCTCTGGGAGGGCCGCGAGCGCCTTCACCGACTCCAGCTGTCAGATCGTCGCCGCGCGGTTGGCCACGCAAGCCTGGTGCACCAGTACTCCAGCCGCCCCCACCGCCGCTGCTGCAGCTAGGAAGAGTATGCCAGCTCTGATGCCACCATTCTCTTGCCGCAGCGCCTTCACCCAGAACCTGTTCGACAGATCTGCGCCCCACACTTGCTCGCGCGGGCGCACAGGCGAGCCCTGCGAGCCAACGACGTTCACCATCGCTGTCCACGATGATGTCGGCGGTGTGACAAGAACTCCAAGAATGGCACCTGACTGAATCATTGTGGTGATATTGTCTAGGCATGTCGAATCTTCCAGTTTCGAGGTCATTGATGGTTCACTGCAATCAATATACAAAACAACACAGTTGAAAAATCGCGTGGCGCAGCCCATAATACTACTGAAATCGTCGTCAACTCTGGGTCCCCAGCCAAGATGCAACACATACGATTGCCGATGAGCGCACACTGCAGGTGCTGGTGGCAGCGTTGGGTCTGGGACCCACTCCACGCACGGCGGCATCGGGCGCTCGTCAACGACGGCAGCCTGCCTTTTGCCAGGCAAAGCTGGTCGCGATGGCGCAGTCGCCCGAAGCCCACACTTGCGTTTGCCCACGGCCGTCTGCTGATCCAGACGCTGCCATGCTGCAACTGCCTCGTCGTCCAGGGGCGCAGTAGATGCCATAATGTGGCCAAGACATGCTCCTGTCGGGCGCCTGAGATGCCTTAGCAACCCTGATCGGTCAGAGAAGGTGGCACCGCAACATAGGCAATCAACACCGTCTGCAAAGTACTGCGCGGTATCCTTTGGCTGGTGCACTCGAGTCCAGTGACCTCGATACCCAGCCACTGTGTGGAACGCCTGATCGCACTCGTAGCAAAAGAAACTTGTTACTGGATGTCCGTTATCGCCACTTGAGATCAGACCAGGGTGTGCCAGCGAAATCTTCCGTTACATGAACGAGTCCTTGTGCTGATCCATTCGCTGCGCTGAGAAACTCATCCAGGCTTTCCGCAAGTGCCTATGAAAAACTCTCAGATCCTTCGCAACATATCTCATCCAAGAGGCGATACCTGGAATACTCCTGGGGCAGTCGTCGGGAGCATCGTGACAATACCTTTTGAGCCAAAGAAAATCTTCCACCACCAGTGATGCCCATGACGATGAAGTGCCCAGCGTAGCATCCAGGATCAATCGCAATGTAGGACATCCTGAATGCACCAGCCGAGCCACGTAACGTAGCCGTCGGAAACGCAATACATCACAAAACTCCATCCTGTTGGTTATAACCAATACTTCTGAATCTGTGGTACGACTGACGGTGAGCGAACTGTGCAGTTTCTTGGTGCCCACGCGGTACCCTGATAGCAGCGCGTGGTTCAACTGTCCCAAGAGGCCGATACCACGGCCGTACAAGAGGCCGAAATCTTGTCCCATGTCTCCTCCTCCTCCTCATCCTCCTCCTCCTGATCTTGCCCGTCATCCCCCTCAAGGTGTTTCCCGAAGAGTTTTCAGAGCGGCTGGGGGGAATTCGCCGGCCCAACGGGCCAGAGGCGTGCTAAGATCTCCGGTAACTGGTTAACAGTATTTCTGACTCGCGCGCGCGGAGCGGCCCCTGGGGCCCCCGGACGAAAAGTACCCCGGCAGAAGCCCGGGAGAAGCCCTCAGAGCACTCCAGGGGAGGGCCACTTTCGACACCCCTCACGAGGATCGTGGCCTCCGAGGGGTAGAGCCGCAATCGACTACCTCCCCTCCCGCCCCGAAAGGCCCCCAAAAGCCCCCCAAGAGGTCCTGGGGGCCCTCAAGACGCCGCCAAGGAGACCGAAGAGACTCCCAAGAGGTCCCCAAGATGCCCCCAAGAGGCCCTAAAGAGGGCTCCAGGGCCGGCGGAATGAGCCAAGCGATTCAATAATTAGATAGTCAGATAGCTTGAGCCGTCCTGGAGCCAAACGTTTGACCACGAAGACGCTTCCCAAGCAGGCAAGAAGCGGCGGTAATTCGTCGTAGGCTTCTTCGATACTCGCATCCGGTTTCGCCCTCACACGAAGACAATATTTACGATCACACTATTCCCCTGGCTGTGTAACCCTGACACCCGTGCTGTGGAGACAGCGGCGCGAGGAAGGCGGGGGGGGCACAGGGAGGGAGAAGGCCAGAAGGAGGGAGAGCGAAGAAGAAGGGAAGGATTAGATAGAGGAATACACAACTTCATAGACGCAAGCTTTCGGAGGTCCGCGCGAACTTCTTGGATCGGCGCTGGACCCCCCTTCCTCGCGCTCGGAGCGCGCCAGGGGCGATACCCGAGGCGCCGCCAGTGGACCCAACGCCAGTCCAAGAGTTACGCGCGGACTTCCGACGGTTGATTTTGTTTGATGGTTAGTCTTCGAGATGAAGGACTGGCCATCGCGCGGACGTCCGTTCCCTGTTTTTTTCGCCAAATGATCAAGGATGCTCCTCGAGGGCCCTCGCCGAAGGAAACATGCACACGTCCGAGCGATGCCAAGAGGACACGTCCGAGCGATGCCAAGAGGAAGGGGGGACAGGGGGAGGAGGGGACGGAAGGGCGGGCCGACCAAAGACCAGCGCGGCCGCGAGAGCGAAGGCGGGCCGAGCCGCCTCAGTAATGCCGCCGCTTGGCTGGCGTGCTCCGCCAAGGCCGCCCTCATCGTCACGTGAGGCGTGCCCTGGGCGATGCACCCGAAGACCACACTGCGATCATCCCTCGCCTTCTTCACCATCTACGCACCACCGCAACGTTGCGTACTCCTCAGGTTCCTCCTTTGTACCCTCCTCCTCCTCCTCCTCCTCCTCCTCCTCCTCCCTCCTAATCGTTCTCCTCCTCATCATTATTGCCATCCTCGTTGTCACAACTTCCTTCACCTTGAATCTGCCTCGGGCGTTGTTTCAACATTTTCGGCTCGACGTCTTTGACATCATGTTGTATCTCCTGCATGTCTCAACGAGGAAAAAGACAACTCTAAACAACACATGCTGTCTGGTTTCTGCTGCGTTCGAATATGTTCTTCCTTTTCAATCGAAGGAGCCCGCAACGCTTACGGGACATGGGCATCCAAACTTGTTTCGCACTGGTGTCAGACTGGTGTCAGACCTATGGTTTGCCGTTGTCAGCTCTGCACACGGAGAGTCTATGGATCGATGGCTGTTGAGCCGCGACGAGAAACGCTAAAACAACGAGTCTAACAACGCTACTGCATCCGACGTATTTTTTCTGCGCGTTCAGCCTGTGAGGAGCCCGAGGTAAAAGGAAAACGCTATACACAAACGCAGAGGCCAATTTTAAGATGACCCTGCGTCATAGTCATGATCCTTATCCTACTGTTCATCTGCTATCGCCTTGCTGCACCGGGCCTGCTGAACCGAAGATGCTCAAACCAAATGCCCCACCACTTCATCCGTGAAACTCAGCACATAACGCCTCATACCCAGGTGATTGCCGCACGCGCAAATTGTCACTCAGAGGGAACAGTTGGGTCGGCACAAAGCTGCATGCACGTAAAGGAAGCCTTCTTTGTTTCACACTGTTGTCTTTCACATCTGCGACCTCCACACAGCCGCACTGGTCAGTTCAATTAACTATCGTGTCTCCAATTCCTGAGCAATGTGGCACCGAATCGAGTTCGGGCCCTGTGATCAGTTGCGAAAAGTGATGGAAGGAAGGAAATCCCTGCCCTGCTAATCGCACCTGTTTGACGGCAGTGAGGAGAAATGCAACGACGCATGTGCTGGGCGGTCAACTGGCACACTTCGCGGAGCTTGAGTATTAACCGCGACAATTGCAGGAGTCGATATGCGAAGCACCATCGTGCGACGAAGCGCGCGCTGCCTGGGCCGCAAGAGCGCTGCCATCTCGCCTGGTGACATCCAATTCTCACTCGCGCTGTCCGGAGCGCGCTCGGCTTGATCACTCAAATGCTCGCCGCACTGTCCAGAGGAAGGCCCCTTTGCGCCGTCGGCCCACTGGCACCATCGCGCGAGGGCTGAACGACCGCCCCGCCAAGCCCAGGCAAGCCCTCCGGCGTCGCTGATGCCTCGAGGGGGCGCAGCGAGCAGAGCGGTCAGCACCTCTTTCGGCGGCACGCCACCATCTGCCCGCGCGATGCGCCCTCGCCAAGCCTGGCCGATGAAGCCCCCCGCCGACAGGTACTCTTAAGTCGGGCCTGTCCCCCTAGAGGAGAATGTATCGACGATTTTATATATATATATATATATATATATATATATATATTATTAAAAATTCCGAAATAATCAACAAAATTATCCCAAAATCGTCAGGGGACTCTGTTTGGTGTATGTTTTGACAGTGCTGATGCATTTTTGGTGTATTTTCTATTTTTCGTCGAATATCCCTCTGTAGGGGGAAAAACCCGACTAAAAGGTAACTCAGCGATGCCGCGAACTCTTCGGGCAGCGAAGCGAAAGCTGCGCAATTGTGTGCACGCGTTTGGCGGTCGCGGCTTCGCGCGAAAAGCGACGAGGCGGAGCAAAGCCGCAGAGCGTCGGGAGCGGGCGCGCGCGGCCGGGCCGTTTGGCGGGATCGCTTCGGACCGCCGCACGTGCCACCCTACAGGGACCCTAGGGAACGGCAGCCGCACAGGGCAGTTTTTTTTGTGTTAAACAAATACATGGGATTTTCAACAAATATGATGTTTAATACATGGGTAATTTGGGAATAAATCTATGCACGGACTCGTCGTTGTTTTTAATACTAAATCCCTGCATTTTTTAACACATGATCCGCACGCGGAGCATGCAGTAAACAACGGCACTGTAGGGACCCTCGGGAACGGCAGCCGCAATCATGAACTACGCAAACACCCACACACACTCACGCATCCACTCCTGGCCAGGCCATCTGGGGTCCTGGGTCGGTGCGCGCGTCATCCTGGTTCGGCCAAGACCGGTGTGCGCAAATGTGCGCGTGTCCGCGCGTAGCCCACGTCGCCCGACCAAGCTCGCCTTACGTCGCAACGGTCCGATCGGTCCCCCTACGGACGCGCGCTGAGCCCCGCTGCGCACCCGCTCCACCCCTGGGGCAAACGCGAAGGGAACGATAATAACGGGGAGCCTGGCTCAGGGAGGGAAGCGTGGTTTCAGAATCGGCGACGCATCGCCGATAGCTCGGCGACAAGCCCTCGATGACGACACCGCGCGTTCCCAGGGCGGGAAGAGGAGGCCCAGGGCCCCGATCGGCAACGAACGGGCGATCGGGGATCGATATCCAACGGAAAAAGTGCGCCTACAAATCAGAACATTTCGCGCAACCTCCTCTGGCTTCTCTGGGGCGCCTTGATAATTGATTGCCAGCGCGTCCATCATGGGCTACTATAGGAGGAGTCGGCTTGCGGGGGGGTCGGGCGCGCGGGAGGCGGGCGGAGGCGTCGCCGACGCCCCGCGCCCCCGGGGGGCTCCATGTTGGATTTCCCAGGCTGCGCCAAGCGCGCGCGCACGCGTTACTTGCCCGCGCGCTCACATTCGCGCAAGCGCATCCTAAGAAACTATGATTTGGATCGGAACCGGGCGACAACGGGCATGGGGCGCCTGTCAAGGCTGCTTCTGGGAGCGATTGCTGCTGGCTCGACACGCGCGATATGCATGTGACGACTTTTGGAAAACGGGCGCTGCGCCGTCCAATCCAACGCGGCAATGGCGCGGCCCGGGGCGCGCGGCCGTCGCGGCACACGGCGGTCGACGTGACCGCATGGGGCGCGCGATCGGCCGCGCGGCATTTGCGGGCCATTCGGCCGACGCTGCCGGGTCGCCCTCAAACGGCCCGCCAGGAATACGCAAATGCGCAATGCGCCAGCGCGCCGCCAGGATATCGCCCTGGAAACAACCTGTTCACTCTGAATGCCGACTGCGCGCCTCGCTGAACCAGCGAAGTCGCGCGGCGCGCCCGCGCCGCGGACCCGCCGCAATGAACTCGCGGGAAAAAGGCCTCTCTCCATGGGTTCTGGCACCGATTCTGGCTTACTTCCCCGTTCTGGCCGATTCTGGTTTCATCGCCGATTCCTCCTTTGATTCCGTATTGATTCCGTACTGATTCTTTTGATTCCGCTAGAATCAGGGGTCGCAGTTGTGCCGATTCTGTTTTGATTCTGCACTGATTCCGCACTGATTCCTTTGATTCCCTTGTGCCCCCCGGGGACCATCAGGCCGCGGCCCGAGCTCCCGCCTCGGCGGCATGGTTTTTCCAGGAGCGCGGAAGAGTTTTGAAGGGGGGGGGCGGGGGGGGGGCGGAGCGATTTTTGAGGCGCATCGGGCGGCCGAGCCACTGATTTCCGGACCCAGTGCGCACGCCCAACATGGCAGGCGCGGGCGCGCGAGTTCTCGACCGTCGGCGCATCTGTAAGTTCATACCCCGCCCCGCGCGCGGGAATGGAAACTTGCGCTGCGTTTGTTCCAATTGAACGCGCGGCCGTCGCAACTGTATCGCATTGCTCAGCGCGCCAGCGCGCGAGCAGCATGGGGGGCTCTGCGTTCTCGCATGAGAAGTGCGCGGAACCGAACCGAACGGTCGGCGGCGCCCGCTCCTGCGCCCAGCGCGAGGCCATCGCGTCAGCGCGGGTGGCTACAGGGGCCTGAGCCGTCGCCCTGGGGCGCGGGCACAGCGCGAAGCCCGCGCGGGTCTCTCGCGCCAAACATGCGCACCAAGGTCGGCCCGCCCGCCGGCTGGCCCTCGCGGGCGACGCGACGCCGGCGCCGACTGCGAGGCAGACTGGGCCCGGAGGATTCCTGAGAGCCCCGGGAAGAGGCAGCGGGCCGCGATGGAATCGGCGCGGTCGTTGGCGCCCCCCCCGCGCCCGGCCCCCCCTGCAAGCCGACTCCTCCTAGGCTACTAAGCCCCGCGCATAGCTTCCTTCACAAACCTCGATTGGCTTTCATCAAGCTTGCCAAGAGACACAAAACCCGATTAGAAATTGCGCAATTTTGCCCCAATTCAATTCCAAACCGTACTTGCGTCCTTCTACCGCAATAGCGCCCAGCATGAGCGGCAACGTTGCACGGCGTTGAGAAACTAACGCAGCGTCGTCGGCGCGCAAAATACCTCCTGGAGACCGCATACCCCAGATCTCGTTGAACAAGGTCAGAGAAAGCGCCCTGAAGCACGGTAGTTTGCACAATAATGAATAGACACGGAGATAATGGACACCCCTGCACGACGTCAGTCGCTTGACGTCGTAGCCGGCGGATGCGCATTCCTCTGACAATTTCCGCGAAAGGCTTTGGCGCCTCAAATCCCACCAAAACTGCGCGCAGGCATTCCGGCTTCAATCGGTCAACAGCTCTTGCCCAGCTGAGGGGCAAAATGACACCACCACTCTGGAATAGCGCCGCGTCGGTCACGCGCCTCGCGAGCACGGGCGCGTCGGACGCGCCCCGCCGATGTCAACATCCAAATTGCGAGTTTCTCCTGCGACCTTCTGCTCCACCTTGGAGCTGTCAGTCGCTGGCGCAGCGTGACTGCTAGGGCTTCGCGCGCTACAGGAAGCAGCGTGTGCTGAGTTGCATTGCCTCTCCCTGGTCGAATAGCGCGGTGGCGCTGGCTGCGCGCCATTTTCTGGCGCGCCTAGTTCGGCCCGGCATCTTCGGCGTGCTTCCAATAGCGCATGACGAGCGCGCATCAGCGGGCGCAGTCTTCCAGGGGTCGGGCGGCGCATCACCTGGGCCAGCCTCCTCGCATTCTTCGTCTTCTTCAGGGGGCGCGGCAACTCAATCGCAATAAATTGCCCCGCGCCCACTGGCAGTTCTGATCCAAGAGGGCGCGCGGCAGTCAACGCCACCTCCGGGGCGGTAAGTTGCCGCTTGACTTCTTCGAAACAGCCTGCCAGGGCACCAGGGTGGCTCGCGGCGCCGGCTGGATTCTCGCGCGCGCCTAGGACCCCAGCGCGCTTTGGTGGAAGCTTCTTCCATGGATTTCTGGACGCGCCCCAACTCCCTCCAGCAGGCGAGCCGACTATCCAACGCGCGCGGCCTGCCCGCGCCGCCTTTTCGGACAACCTTGTTGGGCGAGCTTGCGTCGCAAACGTCTCCGATTGACCTGCGCTTGTTCCTTTGTTCGAAAAGCTCCAACTTGGCCTGCGAGATCCAAGGTCGCCGGGAGGTTTGTGACCCGCGTTGTAAACCGTCGGTCGCGGCGCCGAGAGCAGCTTCGACTTGGCCCGCAGCGCCAGCGAGAGAACAATTTGCATCGGGCAAAGCTTCCACTTGCTATGACAAAAACGCATCGTACATCGTATAACCGAACTGCGTGGCTGGATCTCGCGCCGAACCCCTGTCGATATGAATGTGCGCATGCGCCGCTTTCGTCTGAACCTACAAACCACACCGCACTTTCATCAAGTAGCAGTGGCTGTTTACAGCAACGGCCTGGCGCGATCTGCAAGTTCCCGCCCAGGGAAGCATAGCAGCATGTCAAATCACATGGTCAACATGAGCTGTGCATCCTGCCGCGAGCAACAAACTTAGGCGACATTTGATTGGTAATGTTGCGTCTCCCTTTCTGAATGGAACGATGGCGCTGGCCGCGCTCGCGTTGTAAGCGTGCCTTCTGCTGTCCAACCTCTTTAGCGCGCGACCAAAATGCTCGACACGCGCGCGCGCCAATAGACGCAATCTTCCGCAAACCAGGCAGTGCATAATCTTGGCCAGCCGCATTTCCATTTTTTCATCATCTTCAGAACGCGCAGCAATTCATGCAGAAAACTGGTTCACCCCCGCTGGCAATTCTGACCCAAGAGGGCTTGTAGCTGCAAAAGAACACGGCCGGGAAGGCAGCTGCCGCTGTACTTTTTAAGAAGTAGCCCACCAAAACATCAGGGCGGCTCGCGGCATCGGGCAGATTGTTGCGCAACTCCGCACTCCAGCGCGCCTTGGTCGAGGTTTCTTCTTGCGTTTTCTTTTGGACTGCGTCCCAACTCCCTCCAGCAAGAACATTATATGTGCGCGGTCTGCCCGCGCCGCCGTCCGGGTAACATTGATGAACGAGCTTCTTTTGTAGGCGTATCCGATTCGCCTGTACTTGCTTCTTTGTTGCATGAGGTCCAAGTTGGTCTGTGAGATCCAAGGTCGCGGGGCGGTTTGTGGCCTGCGTGGTAACGTATCGGTCGCAGCACCAACAGCAGCTTCGATTTGCCTCGCAGCGTCGACGAGAGAAAAATTCTAATTGCGAGTAATTTGCCACTACCTGTAACAACGCTTCGTGCAATTGAACTGCAAGCCCTGGTCCCACACCTAGCCTCGGTCGCCGTGAATGTGCTCATGCGCCGCTTTCGTCTGCAACTGTAAACCAAAACACACATTCATCAAATCTTCGTGGCCGTTTAAAATAACGGCCCGGCGCGTTCTTGAGGATCGCGCCGGAAGAAGCATTGAAGCACGACAAAACACATGGCCAAACTGAGGAAACTTCTCTGGTGAGACATCGTCGTCCATTGAAGCCGCGCACAAATTTCTGCTGGCGGCCCGTCGCTCAGCCAGCGCGTAAAAATGCACTCCCAATGACCATGTCTGTCGCGACGCAACGTTCTGGCAAAAGTTGTCACGTATATTATTGGTCGAGATGTGCAAAACTGGCAACAACGCGTGAAACACATGGAGGTGTACCAATATACTGCGATTCCCCATGTCGTTGCTCGAGTAGTTCAGCATTGGAGTCGCCCGCTAGAAGAGTAGTGCTGCGTTGTTCGTAGGCCGTACTGTACCCAATAATTCCGCGGAAAAAGATTGGCGGATCTCGTACTCGTACTTGCTCTGCGGGACGTAGGCCGAAACGACCCTGAAAATACCGCGTTGCACTCTGATCCGCAGCAGTGCCCAGCGTGGCTACACCGCCCAGAACGCTACTATAGCAGAGCGGGCCCAGGGAGCCACGACGAAACCGACCCCAGCTACCGAACGTTGATCGTGGTCAGGCTCCCCGGATAAACAAACCATGCATCCATCGTACTCGAAATATTCGGACTCGTGCAGTTGAGTCTCCTGTATGACCAAAACGTCGATGCGATGGTCAACCATTGATACAATTATCGCAGACAACTTGGCAGATAAATCCGCACGGAGACCTTCAACATTCCAGGCGCCAGAAATCTGCGCGCAAAGAGGTTGACATTCCCGTCGAGGCTGAAACCGCGCGCTCACTAACCTGGAAGGTCGCGTCAACGAAAAGGCGCCGATAGGAAAAGAAGGTCACAAAGAGCCAGAGGATTGGAAGAGGAGGGCGGAGGATTAGCATGAAGTCTGTGGATGGCGCTGCGGCCCAGTAGCTTCGCCCCGGCTCGCTGCAGAAAATTCGCGTGATTCCGTCGATGCGGGCGCGTCGGTATCTGTCCCTCCTGAACCCAAAGCGATCCTTGCTTCAGCGACCTGCCTGGACAATGGCTACACGCAGGAACGGCCCTGGGACAATGTGGCCTGTGGGGCGCGCGGTGCGCGCGATGCGGCAGTAACAGGTCTGCAAGCGATGCGCCGTCGACGTCGACGATGCATCGGCAACGTCGCCGTGGAGAACTTTGGGCTCCACATCGAGCCGCATCGCCGATGCATGGGCAACGCGGCGCGATCCCCACTCGGACTCCAGATGGGAGACACAAACAAAAGGCCTGCGCGCTTGGGTCCGGCCTCAACCGAATACACGCCGATCCTGGGCCCGAAGGTGGCCTACAGCCGGGCTCGGGGAGGCAGTCGCTTGACGTCGCCCCGAGAGGGACGCGAGGCGGAAGAGGGCCACTCGAAGCAACGGCAGCTCTCCCGCCGGGCCCGGCCCTAGTCCGCTCTCAAGTAGGGAACCGAACTCTGTACACCGACGCGTGCTCCGGGCCTGCTCTGAAACGTGCAAGCAATAAAACGGATCGTGGTGTACACGGGATCCTGGTGTATACATGTTTCGCTGTTTCCCCAAGGAAGCGGGCAGACAAGTATACCCCACACCACCCCGGCGTCGCCCTCGACCCTCAGAAACTCCTGCACTTGAAAAACAGCCCGCCACTGGCAATGTATAGGTTCCAATGTCCGCTCAAGCTCTGTCCCTGGAACCCTGACCCGTGGCGATGAGGAGCCTGCGGGAGGCAAAGCAAGGACCGCAAGACGCCAGGGAGGGCCGCCGTTGCCTCGTCCGCCCCTCCCTCCGAGCGAGGCAGTGGGGAGCGGCAGGCAGGCAAAGCGGCGCGCGGGCTGGCGCGGCGCATGCCTCCGCATGGTTCTGGGTCGTGTACGCACCTCAACGGGGCGAGCGTCTGGGGCCCCTTGGCCGTCGGAGCTGCGCCACACGGGCGCTCACAGCGAGATACAGTCAGGAGCATGCACAACTTGCAGCCTGAAGCGGCGAAATCAGGCAACTAAGGATTGGCTTGCCCGAGACGGCAGGGATTCAAGGGTGCCTGGGTGCCTTCGGGGAGCAGACCCATCCTGCATGCAAGAACAACATCAGCACAAACAGAACCTTTCGGAGCCCCGCGTGGATTTCTTTGATCGGCGCTGGACCCTTCGCCTTGACGCGTCGAGCGCGCCGGGTGCGGCGCTAGAGGCGCCGCCAGGGGGTCCAGCGCCGATCAAAGAGTCTTGCGCGCACCTCCGAATACATATGCTCTCCGTCTTGGGGAACAACGCGATCCTGAAAATCTGATTGATCATACTCGGAATTCCCATGAATCGCCCTGCGGATATTAGCAGTGCTCAACTGAATCTCAAGCGACCCTGGAGCGAGCCCCGACGGGGCAGGATTCCGACATTCTGGAGGCTCTTCCTGTTTGAGAGGACCGAGGGCGAAAACAATGGGCTCAAATCCAGCAACGACGAAAACACGCTCTGTAAGACGAAGTCAAGATGGGGTTCCATCGGGGTTCTCTGAAAACTGGGGGGTCTGGAAATCGTATCGGGCGCCGCGGCCTTCTCAGAGCAGTCCGGAACGCGCGGTCTGAGACGCCCTGGAGCGGTATGTTGAAGGTGCCCTGGGACACACAAATAAATACACACAAATAAAACGATCCCCCTATATTTTACTATATTTTCTAGGTTTTTGTCTTCCCCCCACTTCCCATATTTTCTCATATTTTCTGCGGAATCGCCGATTAATTGCGCCTGCGTGCCTCTTTCCCTCCTTGTATGTACCGATCCCAGACATGCGACGACATGCTGCCTTCGCTCCGCGGCCCCGCAGGTCCCGGCCCTTCCCCGGGGCCAACTCCTCACGTTCGGTCGGTGATCTTCTGACCCGGGTCAATCCAGACCCGGGTCAGCAAGATCCCGAACAATGGCAATGCAAAAACAAAAAACGGCAACGCAGGTCTTCGCAAACCCGGGTCAGCCAATAGGCGCGGCCGCCTCGCGGCCAAGAGCGGCTCGCTAACCCGGGTCAGCCAGAGGCGGTCTTCGCAGGATCCTGCAGGATCTGGTGCCCTGGCTGACCTTCGTTTGCATCGACCCCCGTCTCAAGGCTCCCGATTCGAACTGGTCCTGATGGCTCCGGGGCCCGAACCCCTCAGCCAAAAGCTGAGACGGAGAAGAACAGACAACATCGTCGGACATCTGGGACCCCAGGCCCTGGCCATCGCTCGGACGCCCATTCCCTGCGCTTGTTTCGGTTTCGTGCGTGGTTTTTTCGCTAAATGATCGAGGATGCTCCTCGATGGTCCTCGCCGAAAGAAACATGCACACGTCCGAGCGATGCCAAAGGCCTGCCTGACCCTGGGAGCACGCCACCGCGGCGCGGCGCGTCACGCCCCAACCGGCGACCGATAGCGAATCCGCACGGCCCCCATCGGCGATGAATGGGCGATCTGAGGAAACCCAAAAGTACCGATACACTTAGGTCGGACGAAGCATTCGATTCTTGAAGCACGAAGGCGCTTGAAGTAGATTGGGATCTGGGAAGCCGAAATTACCACTTTCAACGACCGGCGTGTACCGCTGCTCCCCAGACCTCTCCCTGACTACCTACCAGACCACCCCAACCCAACCCGAAGACCCGAATTTGACCCGAATTTCGGGTTGGGGGGGGGTACGGGTTCCATGTGTTGTTTCAGCGTTCACCGACCCCCCCCACTGGAAATGGAGGGCAAATTGAGACCTTGGGGTTTGGTTGGGGTGGTTTGGTAGGTGGTGACTCCCGGACTGCGTTCTGGCCAGACTTTCGAGGAGGCCCAAAGAGGGAAAAACGAGGAGAGGGCAGTGGTCGGCATGGGTATCTTTTCCTCCTCTGGCTCCTCCTCGCCCTTCTCCTCGTCCTCCTGCTCCTCCTCGTCGTCCCCCCCTCGTCGTCGATATCCTCCTCCTCCTCCTTCTCCTTTTCCTTTTCCTGTTCCTCCTCCTCCTCCTCCTCCCTCGTCCTCCTCGTCCTCCTCCTCCTCCTCCTCCACCTCCCTCCTCCTCCCTCCTCCTCCTCCCTTCTCCTCCTCCTCCTCCTCCTCCTCCCGTCACCTCCGTTGCCCCTGCAGGGCACGCCGCGGCCGCGGCCGGGCACGCCCGGGCGGCATGGCACTGGCAGGGCGAGGGGGGCACGGCGCGGCACTGGCAGAGCGAGGGGAGGCGAGGGCCCCAAACGGGGTGGTGACCACACCGTGTGGATATGGAGATAAATACTCGCCATCGCTCGGACGTCCATTCCGTGTGCTGTTGTCGGTTTCGGGTGTGGTTTTCTCGCCAAATGATCAAGGATGCTCCTCGATGGTCCTCGCCGAAGGAAAAATGCACACGTCCGAGCGATGCCAGGAGTATTGCCCGCAACATACACATAAAATTGTTGGAGGTCCGTGCAGATTGCTCGGATCGGCGCTGGAGCCCCCTGGCGTCGTTTCCGGCGCCGCCCATTTGCCCGCTCGGCGCGCCAGGAATCGGGGGCCCCAAACGGGGTGGTGACCACACCGTGCGGTGCATCGGTGGGGGTTCGGGGTCACCGCACGGTTTTGGGACTCGAGTCCCTCTCCGAGGATGTCTTGGGCAACAGGGGCCTCCAAGGTCCCAAAACCGTGCGGTGACGGACCGTGCGGTGAGGTCTTAGGGGGATTTCGAGGTCACCGCACGGTCTGTCGCTGCACCGTTTCGGGACTCCAGAAGGAGAGGCGACGGCGCGCTGGCGGAGCCCGGAGGGGGCCAAAAAAGCACGAGGGCCATCCATGGCGGCTCTGGAGTCTGGAAGATGTATCGGGCGCCGCGGCCTTCTCAAAGCGTTCCGGAACGCTCTGAGAGCGTTCTGGATCGCTCTGGAACGGATTGATTATCGTCCTGGTCCCGTCTGATAAGATCGGGGCGTCGCAACTTGTTCGCAACGGGCGTCTCTGACATGTGTCGGGCCCTAGGGCACTCACAGATCGAACAGCATTGAAACATGCAGCGGACAGATGGGGTCTAAGGCTAACGTCGGATCTCAGAGATGACCAAGACTAAAGGAGAACTAGAACCACGCGCGCGTCGCGCGCGCTCAGGCTCTATTAAACTCCAGCCTCTCACAGTCTCACAACTGCGTGCAGATGCACACGCATATACGCAACGTCAAGAGATACCCATACACGGTTCGAACCTGTGGTGGACATGTAGCCAATCACAACGTGGACCGAGCAAAGACGACTCTGAACAAGGCGCTCTACGAAGATCGGAGCTTTCTGGTGGCTTCCTGGTGGCTTCTTGGTGACTTCCTGGTGGCTTCCTGGGGCCTCCTGGGCCTGGGGCCTCTTGATGGCGTCCTGAGGGCCTTTGGGGGGTCTCCTGTGGGCATAGGGGCCCTCCAGTAGCGGCTGTGTGGGCCGTCTTGGGCGCCTCTGGGGCCGTCTTGGGACAATTTGGTGCTGCTTGAGCGGCTCCGAAGAGCTGTGAAGGGCCGTATCGGACTCTGAGGCCGTCTTGGGACTCTCTTGGGGCTTCTCGGGCAGGTCCAGGGGGCTTTGGGGGGGTCTTTTTGGACCTCTTGGTGTCACTTCTGGCCTCTTGGAGACTATTGGGGGCGTCCTGGAAACCGATTGGGGAGTCTTGGAGGCCTCGGGGGGCGTTTGTGAAGCCTCCTGGAAGCCTCTTGGGGACCTCTTGGAGGCCTCTTGAGGCGTCCTGGGAGGCCCCTGGAGGGCTTCGTGGGGCTTCTTGGAGCCTCGAGGGACTTTTTGAGGACGTCTCTGGGCCTTCTGGTGGCCTCGTGGATGCGTGAGCAGCCCATCGGAAGCGAAAAGGCTAGAAGGCCAAACTCATCGATTTCCCTTGGGTGCGTAAAGGTTTTGAAATCATCTGAGGTCTGGAGGTCTCCGGGGCCGTCCTGAGTCTCTGGGGGCCTTTGCGGATCTCCTGGGGTCATTGTGGCCTCTTGGAGACAATCTGGGGAGTCCTGGAAACTTATTGGGGGCTTTTGGAGGCCTCGGGGGACGTTGTGAGGCCTCCCCGAAGCCTGTTGGGGGCCTCTTGGCGGCGTTCTAAGGGACCGCTTGGGGGCTTCTTGGGGCTTCTTTGGGCCTCGTGGGACCTTTTTGAAGGCGTCTCTGGGCCTCCTGGTGGCCTTTTGGAAGCGATTTGGAGGTGCGAGCAGCCCATCGGAGGCGAAAAGGCGAGAAGGCCAAAATCATAGATTTCCCTTCGGCTTGTTAAGTAAAGCTGTTAACTTCTCGGAGGCGTTCTGGAGGGCCTCCTGGAGGTCTCCGGGGCCGTCCTGAGCGTCCCTGGCTGGAGGCGTCTTCAGGCTCGTGGTGGCCGTCAGGGACCCCTGGAGGTCGTCTGGGCCGCCTGGATGGCCCTCTGGTGGCGTTCCCTGACGATCTCCGGCGGCCCAAAGGCGGTCCCAGGCCCTGACTGGGCCCCGGGCCACACAATCGCGGTAGGGGTCGCGGCCCCGGGGCCGCCCGGCCCAGTGCGCCGTTACGTGTATAAACGTCGGTGTCGATCTTGGCCATCGTCCAACCTGGTCATATTTGAGTCGTGGATCACCCTCGCAAGCGGGGGACGGCCACTTACACGGACCATGACCAAGATCGGCATCGACAAACTTGTGCCACATGTTGGTCAGATGGTCATCGTGTTCCTTCCCGTGACGCCTCCCAGGTGGGATCCGAGAAAATGGGGTCGGAAGACCGCCCCGCATCGACGATGCATCGGTGTCAAAGGCGCGGACAAACCGGGTTCCACATCGAGCCGCGATCCTCCGACCCAATCCTTGGGGCCTGCATGCCCTCTCCTCCTTCCACCCCCCCCCCTCCTCCTCCTCCTCCTCCTCCTCCTCCTCCTCCTCCTCCTCCTCCTCCTCCTTTCCCCCTCCTCCTCCTCCTCCTCCTCCTCCTCCTCCTCCTCCTCTTCCTTATCCTCGTCCTCCTCTTGCCTTCCTTCTCCTCCGCCTCCTCCTCCTCCTCCTCCTCCTGCCTCCTCCTCCTGCCTCTTCCTCCTCCTCCTGCCTTCTTTCTCCTCCCAGTCCCTTCCTCCTTCTCTCCTTCTCTCATCCTCCTCCTCCCTCCTCCTCCTCTCTCCTCCTCCTCCTCCTCTCCTCCTCCTCCTGCTCCTCCTCCTCCTCCCCCTCCTCCCCCTTCCTCCTCCTCCTTCTCCTCCTCCCTGCCTGCTCTTCCCAGCTTCGCTTCCTCCTCCTCCTCCTCCTCCTCCTTCCTTCTCTCCTCCTCCTCCTCCTCCTCTCCTCCTCCTCCCTGCCTGCTCCTCACAGTCCCTTCCTCCTCTGCCTCCTCCTCCTCCTCCTCCTCCTCCTCCACCTCCTCCTCCCAGTCTCCTCCTCCTCCTCTTCTTCTCAGACTCCCTCCTCGCAAGTCTCCTCCATCTGGGAGGCCTAGATTCGACTTCCTCGAGCGACTTCCTTCACCGCCGCCCGCCTGGACCTCTGCTCGACAGGGCATCGGCCCGCGGCGTGGGCGGACTGGTGTGGGCGTTGCGCCGAAGCTGCCGGCCGTCGTCGTCCTCGGCGTCGCCGTCGCCGTCGCTGTCGTCGTCGCCGCCGTCGTCGTTGTCGTCGTCGCCGCCGCCGCCGCCGCCGCCGCCGCCGTCGTCGTCGTCGTCGTCGCCGTCGTCGTCGTCGTGGTCGTACGTCCGTGGAGGGCCGGCATGCGGCGAGCACGTCTGCAGGGGCTCACCTCCTCTTCCTCCCCCTCCTCCGCAGTCGACGGCGCGGCTGGCACGCCGCTCGCGGCCGCCGCCTCGGCAGGGATCCGACGCTCCGAAAAAAGGGGGGCGCCCCGTGTTCGGCCTCTTGAGGCCATCGCCGGGCCCCGGGAGCGTCAAAAAGCGGCTCGGGACGTAAAAACGGGCCCTTCGGGGATGCACAAACCCCCATTTAGTAAAATGTGGTTTTGTGAAAACGACCTCGGGCCCAAATCTGGCGGCGCGCACGCCTGGATAATGACGGCTGAGGCGCCCTCTCGAGAACCGAAAACGGACAATTCACTAATCGACGTGTCAGGGTGGGGCTTCTGCCCACCACCGGAAAAAAAAAGACTCGGCTATGCTTTGTTTCGGTTTCGTGCGTGGTTTTTGTCGCAGGATGATCCAGGATGCTCCTCAACAGTCCCCGCCGAGAAAAAGTGCACACGTCCTAGCGATACCAAACACTTCTCGTGTTTTTGCTCCGGCCCTCGGTCGGGGCCCTTGAAGGGGCCACGCCCCCGTTCGACTGGACGGTGGGCCCGCCCCTCTAAGGCGAAGCCAGGACGAAGCCAAACTCGGGTGAGGATACTCTGGCCCTCGCTCGGACGTCCATTCCCTGTGCTTTTTTCAGTTTCGTGCGTGTCTTGGTTTTCTCGCCAAGTGATCCAGGATGCTCCTCGATGGTCCCCGCCGAAGGAAAAATGCACACGTCCGAGCGATGCCACGTACATCCTGCTGACCCCGTTAACTGGCACGAGACCACAACCATTGGGGATAAAGAGAAGCGGCATCGTCCCAACAGACACCCACCACCATCTCGCCCAGGAGCTCAACCACGACAAACACAGAGGTATCCCAGAGCGATTCACAAATACAGTACATCAAGAATCTCTGAGATCCGGCGGCTCTGGCGCCGCGTCCGTCTCAGAGCGTTCCAAAACGCCCTGGGAGCGTTCCGGAACGCTCTGGAACGGAGTCGTCCCTTCCACCGCGGCCCTCCCAGATGGGTACGACGACGGCGACGACAACTAGCAACAGCGACGACTCACGTTCGGTTTTATGGAAGCCTATCTCAATCAACATGTTGGCGGATTAGCGGCAAGTGCCGGCAAACAACGGCAACCGATCAGCGGCAGATAGCGGTTCACGCCCTACGCCAACCGTCCACCAATCACACCCCTATTCGCCGCTGAACGCCAAACAATGCAACATTGTTTCGGTGAAATTCCAGGCTTCCATGAAAGCAGTCCTAAGACGACGACTGCCGTCGGCCACGACTGGCGACAAACACGAACGGCGGCGGCGACAAACCACGACGTCGGAGAAGGAACTCCCAAGCACGGGTCAGCTGAGGGAGGGCAGGGGGGTCGGTTCCACATGTCGGGCCGGGCGAAAGGTGGGGATAGCAAAGGGGGGGTTTGAGAATCAGCTCACGTAGCTGATTCTCCAGGCGCCTCCCGGCGCCATGAGGCTCCCATGTATCGAGGAATGGGCCCGGCGGCGGGGTCGAAACCAGCTGCATGCAGCAGATTTCGTAACCCCCCCTTTCCCTATCCCCCCCTTTCGTTCGGCCCGAACATGGCCCCAAGACCTAGGCCGGGCGGCGGGGATCGAAGGGGCTTGGCTGACCCCCGTTGCGGCAAGTTCGTGTCGCGACGGCCTCGGCGTTGGCTTCTGGCACCGCGCGAGTCGTTCCACCCCGAGCGAGCGGCGCTCTCTGGCGGTGCTGCTCGCACCACATCGGCCGGGTGTGCCAGCACCAGCTGGCCATCACGCGGACGTCCATTCCCTGTGCTTTGGGGCTTCGTGCGTGGTTTTTTTCGCCAAATTGTCAAGGATGCTCCTCGATGGCCATCGCCGAAGGAAAAGTGCATACGTCCGAGCGATGCCAGGCCAGTGGCGTTCGATACTGAACGCCCAGGCTGGCGTCGCCGCCGCGTCGGCGGGGCACGAACCTGCTGCAACAATCGGACTCTCTCCACCTCCCAACGCGAGCGCTCCAACGCGCGGACCCCAGAGATGGACCGATCTCTGGACGGGGGTCTGCGTCTGCCTCTTCGGCGACGCCAATTCGAGGCTGGCTTAAGGCAACATTTCCCAAAAGGAGCCCTGGACGTCCTGCCTGGATGATTCTGGGTTGATTCTCCAGCGCGCGGATGAGTAGGGGGACCGACGTCTTGAGCACAGGAAGCGACGGTCGAAGTTCGAGAACGGGTACCCGACCAACCCCCTTGTCCTGCTGTGCCCTCGCTGAGCCACCGCGCACCGCGCAGAGCCGAGAAACCCGAGGCACCCTGACCAGCTACACCTGGTCTTTAAACGCACGTCGCACTGTGTTCGGAGGCACATCGCGGGAGTTTGTCGTAAGAACGGCTAGTGTCTACTAAGCCCCCTAATGGGCCAACAAAATAGACAAACCCAAGTGAAGCCCAGGGTTGATCCCGCTGAAGCGGGCTTCGACGGGACTGCGCCGGATTAGGCATGTTTTCGACCACGAGCTGAATCCTAAACTGCGTGCCCTTTATTATTACTACTATTATCATCAATATTACTACGATTATGATTGTTATTATGATTATTTGATGCCCCCCGCACTCATGTTCGGGTCGCCGTCCGGGTCCCAGCAAGGTGCCACCTGCGGGCGCCGCGAGGGGGGGATGGGGGGAGACTTAGGTGGGGCCCGAGCGCTTCGGGCACGCAGGGACGGGGCGCGGTGCCGGCGGATGCGTGCGGGGGGGAGGGAGAGGCCGACGTAGGGGCTGATGGCCCCTCCTCCCGCTCCTCGCCCAGTCACGACTCCGCCTCCGCTTCCCTGTTCCTCGCCCTCGCGGACACACGGGCATTCCATCCTCGAAAGCTGTGCTCCCGAAGATTGACAGGGTAAACCTTTCGGTCCCGCAGCCTCTGGCAAGAACCGCATTTGGCACCGGGTCTTCGGCGGATGATATTCAAGCTCTGTGCAACTTGTTACAAGCACCTCTGTTTGAAGCCCCTTTTTGGCTCCAAAAGCGCCAGCGTGCACGAGGAGGGCTAGAGAAACAACCAT